GAGAGTAGTAGAAAATTCCTATAGGACACTGTAAGAGAGAAGCTGACGAGGACGACTCTTCAAATTTTAGAATTTTGTCTGCAGTCACGACAATACATAAAATATAGTTGATATAGTTATTATATAGTTGATTAAATATAAACCTCATTTATTTGTGGTCAGGGTTGACTATGGAACAACTTTGGAAATTTGTCAAGTGACGGAACGGAACAGGAAGTTAACAAAGTAAAACACGTTTTGTAAAAGTTTATGTTGCCAAATTTGTGCGCTTTTAGATGAGTTAATGAAATTTTTTAAAAAATAAAATGCTTGGATTTTTGGGGTTACTTGGTGAATTAATTTTGGAGTCTGTTATCAATTCAAGAAACAGAACTCATTGCTTGTTTTTAGATGTTATACTTGTTCAACACTGAAAGATCTTTTGTTTAATAGTGAAAGTGAATTATCTGCTGGAAAAATGCAGGGAAACAACTTCTGCATCAAAATTTTATTTTCAAAAGTTTCACAGAAATTTCCATTACAGTCTACTATAGCTCTGCTTTTTTATTTTGTTTTTTCAATTAGTAAGCTTATTTTAGGGAGGAGAAAAGACTGACATTTTTCTGAAAATTTTTCTTCCTTGTTTTTCTTTTTTCATAATTTTTAACTTTTTTCTACAAAATTTTTTAATGGTTTTTTAGCTGTTAGAACAGGAAATTTATAACTTTCGGTCAGAGTTTTCCCAGTTTTGGTTATAATTTCCTTCTAAAAGTGAACCTGATAGCCTTAGAGTGTTCAGGTTTTCACAGCTGCATCTGAAACTTGTTTTTCAAAGCAATAACCTGCTTTTATTGGCAGTTCTGTAGTTGTGGTATCGTCGTATTTGTTCTTCCTCATTTTTGAGTCTCATTCTACATCTAAGAAGTGTTTAGTGAAGACGAGAGATTGCCGATGAAAGAACGGATATGCAACTAATCATTTGCGCTGTTTCTAGCTGTTTCTTTAAAACAAAATTAAGCGATAAACTGTTCGCAGCTTTATAAATTCTAAAAAAAAGAACCAAATTAAATTCGGTACAAAAAATATGAAATCTTAACAAACTGTTGAGAAAAAATTGGAGTTCAAGGCAGGTTGAACCGAAAATAAGATCATAAATAAAAGAAATAGTTCAGAAAGAAAAGAAGTATTTTTATACAATACAAAATCAGGTTGTATTTATTACAAAGCGCTAATTCTTTTGCTATTTATTTATTTATTCATTTCTTTTTTAAATTAGTTAATTTTCATGCAAAGCGGTATTTTTTTTATTTTGACAGAATGATTGATGGAAATTGGTAATGTCGGCAAAAAAAGAACAAAACGACTACTTTTTGCTAAAAATTGGCTATTTTTTTGGTGACTTCTTTTCTTTATGCGTTTATGCAGAAAAAATTTTTTCAAAGATTATTTGTAGATATAATAATTTGTAAGTGAGAAACAACTGCGCAATAACAGCAAAGTAAATTCTGTAAAAGTGAGTAATTCTAACTTTTTTAATTGATTAATTTTACAAACGTTAAGTAAAAGTTTTTGTAAATTAATGGCTCCAAAAATTTGGCAGTATATGGCTTTTAATACTTTCTATCTATTTTGCTGTTGACTGATACAGCGATGAAATACTGCTGATGGTTTACCCATCATTCTGGTGATTATTTCAACTTTTATTTGCATGTTGTTTACGTTGTCAAGCAGAGTATTGATGCTAAGAAGAGCGCTTTCATGTTAAAACCTCACACTAATGAAGCTTCCAAAAGCTGTTAACCATTAAAAATGTTGAGTTCAAGAAAAAAAATTCTGCATTACATTAAACAAACCGAGGCTGCTGATAAAAAAAAGAAAACTTGAAAAAATCACTGAAAAAGAACAATTGATAAGTTGTTTGTCATGACGCTGTATCATTACGAAAAGCTGAAAAAAAAAAATACTTTTCCATTTTTTGTTATAGCAAATAACCGTTACGATTCAATCTCTGATGAATAAAGCCAACAACAGTTCAGTGATCAGTGCTATTTTTGGGCTCAATACAACTTTGTTACTGTATTCAACAAGGCCGTTTTCACTATATTCAGCTGTCCCATTGATACGTCTGTTAATCGACATTTGAACACTAACTGTCTTGGTTGTCAATTTATTTAAGCCTATATATAAATATGTTATTTTTTTTTCAGTCTTTTTTTCTTAAGAAGAAAAACCTGGAAATTTTTGTAATTTTTGCTTTATTTTTTTTTCTGTTGTAGTTACTGATTGTTGCTATTTTTAAGAAAGTTTGTTATATTTTTTATTCTGGCCCATAAATTTTGATTGGAAGTTTCTTGTTACTTTCTGTAGTTTCTCGTCTTCTTTTACCAATATAATAATATTTAATTTCTTGAAAGTTTTTTTAATAAAATACAAAAAAAAAA